ACGATAAAAAAATTGTTACTCCATTGAAATTTCCGTTTAATATTACATTATAATATAATAATATACGCGTATATTTATTAGGTGGGCGGTATTCGCGGTATTTGCGGTATTTTGTAGTCGGTTGTGTTATAACCTTATTTTTTTCCTCGATGAAGACTACGACGTGAAATAATTTAATACGTTATACGCGCGAGCTTTCGAGTGGATTATAAATACTAATAGACCACGTAGTAGCTGTGCGCGCGTGCATAAATTAAATGCTGCCTCGTAAAAACCGTGTTATATAATAATATGATAAGTAGTAGGCAAGTAGGACGAATGTAAAATATACACTGACGCGTGTTGTATTGTAGTTCCAATTATAAATATTTACTGTATTCTATGTTATCTTCGTATATCGACGGTTGCTTCTTAGACGTTGTGACGTTGTATGGTGTCGTATTCGCGCGCGTAAAAATATCGATTAATCCATTTCTAGATTGCGCTGTTCAGCTCGATAACATTAACGTTTAGTTACGCTGATGTTAAGTAAAATAGAATATCGCACACAATAGGATCTGACGATCGATCGAAATGCTTTGTTTAAGTACTTGTTTGGTGCTGAGTTGGAGTTTGCACGAAACAAAAGGTAATTCCCGGAGAGAGAGAAAGAGAAAGAGAGAGGTTGTGTGGTCCTTGGTACTTAACTCAATAAGGAATGCCGAAAGTTTTAATTCTAAGATTAATATTTGTTTTAACATCGGAACATCGGCGTACATTGTTAAAATATGTTGTATTCAAGTGAGCAAACGCAAATAAAAATGAAAACGAAATGTATAATTTTTTTTCATAATTATGTCTGAAAACGTATATATACCTACCTACTTATGCAATATTCATCTGTGCATATTTCAATTAGATAACAATATAATAACTTAAAACCATACAAGCGCGACGCAATGATAATAATATTATTATTATTATTTCACTCATGCGAAGTATTCGTTTCAAAGTCAAGTGCGTAACTGCGTAAGTTATTTTAGACGGAAGTCAACTGTTTCTTTACATAATATTTAAATTAACAATAAATATCGTATATAATTACGACGTGCATACTCACTTAACTGCGAAAAGTCAGGTATAATTTTGCCAGCGTAACAGTTTTAATAAGTTCTACTGTCACCCGGGCTCGTGGAAACTGAACATTTTAATCGTATATTATTAAACCGTATAGTTTTATAAAATTATTAGTTATATTATCTCCGTTACGATTCTCCATATTTTAATTTCAACGGTTTTAATTAATTCCCGTTTATGTCGTCGCGTTATGTATTTAGGCAGAATACCCACGGCATATAGTTTTTGATATTATATCAGTATGACGACTGCTTATTTCAAATGCGCGATCACGTCGACGTACTTGCAACGAACTTTATAGACGAAATAATGTTTATGTACAAGTAATCGCGTTCCCGCAGAGTTTTAAGGCGAAAATGCAGCTATTTCATGACATTGAATGTTAAATCACGAGATGTGTAGATTAATTTAAACTACCGCTAAAGATCCTTTTTACGCTCATATGTAAGTCGTTTGTAAGATACAAGAACAAACTATCAAATAAATAATCAGAATTAATTTATTGCGAATGGCATTATTGTTTATAACGTTCCGGTGTTAAAAAAAAAAAAAAAAAATATATTCGTGTTTGTTGTAAACAAACTGATGGATTAACATTGGAGTCAATGTAAACTATTATAAGTAGACAATCCTCAGTAATCACATCAGACAGCGACGTGTAATAAAATATATTCATATTTTCAACGTTAAGCGATCATTTATAATATAAGTGATAATACTAATAATAATACTAGGTAATGATTCTGTAACAAGACGATTCTTAAAATTTTAAATAAATTTTAATTGTGTTCAAAATGTCTAAAGCCATTTTATTTATACATATATACATAATTGAAATATTGTTATAATATTTAAATAGTAAACCATTATAATTATTATGATTTATGATTAAAATATTATTAGATATTTACTAGAAATTGGGAAATTGGAATGCGCGTGTTCTTTATGCATATAGTTAATTTTCTGTACCAGCTTTGTTAATCTTATTGTAATCAAATGTTAAAATTTTATAAACAATTATAACTAAAAATTTTATAATAAATTCACTAATTTTAACTTAGTAGACATAGTAGGTATTTAGTATTTACTTTCAAGGTTAACTCATATTGTACTAAATTGATTGTAGAGATAATAATAATTATATTCGAATCTATAATATATCCATTAAATATTTGAATATAATTATTTTTTAACTTTAAAAAGTGTTTAAGAATAATGCATTTTAATCTTAAATTTAAACAATAATACCGTAACAGGTGTACACCGGTAGTATGTTTCAATTTTGTTTTTTTAATTTATTGTGGGAGACTCTAGTGTAATAAATAGTAATAATGTTTATCAGTACCTGTGTTTAATTTCAACAGGGATAATTAACAGCAACAAGCATGTGGGATTATTCTTTTATCTATATAATTAATTAATATTAATCAACTTTCAACTTACAGTACGTTTGTAAGTTTAGGTGTTCTACATATAGTTTACACGAGATACGTCACGCTACCTTAAATGAAACAACAACGTTGTTAATAATACAAATGTTATATTTCAATCGATTTTTAATGTTTAGTGTCTTAATTATTTTTAAAATTAATTATTTAAAATTATATAAAGAACTTAAGCTTCAAATAAACTGTCAGAAATTTTATTTACGAATTCTCTGTTTATACGTGGAAAATTGAAGGGTTGTTAAACAGTAATGAATTATGAACTATACTTTTAATTATGGAAAAAAATATATTATTAATAGTCATATAATTATGTTTTTATGTGTAATAGAATTAAAAATGTAAGCATTTATAAACGCGAAAACACTAAAAAATACTTCGAATTATACTCTGGATATCTTATTACATTTTATTTAGAACGAAAATTAAAACTTAACTTAATCGTTTCATGAGTAAATGAGTTATATTTTAAATGTTAACTAATCAATAATAATTTCTAATTCGTATGATTAAATATTATTATTGATGTTTTTTTATACATAAATGTGATGTGAAGTGTAGTAGGGTAGTAAAGTAACATCAATATATTTTTTTAATATAGGAAGCATAATATCAGATTAGCTGTGTTTTATGATATTAATGAAGTATAAATTAAAATAGTATAATAATATATTATAATTAGACATTTACGTATTAAGTTGTTGGAAAATTGAAGTTATAGGTTACATTCGGGTAAGAGGATTACAATTCTTGTTCAAATCATATTAAATTTATTCAATGCGTTTTACCATTATAGCTGAGTATTTTTAAAAAAAACATGTTACTTTCAATGAAAAGTTGTGATTTTCACATTGTTTAAAAATTAAAGCAATCTGAACGCAAACTGTAAGTATATAAGATAGTTGGTATTCCCGAAAGAAAATTTTTATTACACATTTTTAGTCAATAAGAGTGGTTATTAATATTTAATTGTGTAACTTGTTTTGTTAACAAATAATTTTATGATTTACATAATATAATATCTAAGACTCACATTTTTAAAATGTTTTTGTAAGCCAAGTTTATTATAATAATATTAAGTTATGTGAATGTGGTCTTTTATTTCATTTATGTAAATATTTTGATCAACTTCTCAACAGAATAATATGGTTTTGTACTTTTTCTTTGAATATTGAATATGTTATTGTAGATTTCATTTTGCAGGCATTCATCCAAAACAAGAAAGAGGTGGTTTATATTAGGCAATATTTTTACACATCGTGTAACATAATGTGTGAATTATTTGGTACAGCCTTTACCCTGTCGTGGCTAATCTGTCTCCTTTATTTCAACCAAACAAACATTTACCCGTAACACTTTATGCTCAGTAAGATTTATCGGAGTTTTATGCGAAAATGAATGGATCTTACTAAAACATTTCTATATTAGAAGACAAACCAAATGAGTATAGAATAGTAGCACGAATGTGCTTTAAATTACATTTTTGAATAGCTTTGTAATTGGTTATTTTGACTTGAAACTTTTAACACGATTTGATAAATATAAAATTCATTTTTCACGTACCAATTCAAACTGTGGCTTGTTTTCTTTTTATAAAAAAACTTGATCCCTGTGTGATGACAGCACTTTAAAATTTATGATACTTGTGTTATATTGTTGATAAATTCTCAAGAAATGAGATATTTTTATACATTCATAAAATATAATTTCGATCAAATGTTTGTTTTATAAAGGTATGAAAAGTAGTTAAAAATAGTTTGTGTCGTTTTCTTGGCAATTGACAATTGTTTAAGAATATTAATCAGTTGCATAATTATATTTTTATCGAATACAATTTTTTTTTCGGAAATTTATTGAATTACTCAATATGATTATAGTTATTGTATTATAATTAATATTTGAAAAACAATTAAATAACCATAACAAATATTAATAATAAGCGAGTAAATTAAAATCAAGTTTTTTTAAATTAAATTTATAAATAGATTGTAAATACTAAATAAAAATAAATTGGTGCTATATTGGTAGTCTTATATTTTATATTTTGTTCTTTCAAAATAGTATTAATAAAATAATTCTAATATTTTAGTATAATATTAGTATCTATATTTACGGGTAAACTAGGTATAGTATTCTAGTACTGTTTAATTCTTATGAATAGGGTGTACTAGTAGAATGTATAGCGCTAAGGCTGGAGTTTTTATAATATTTATGGTTGGTCTTAAATTATTCTTATGTGACAGCACCATTTTAATTTTGAATAGAAATTGAATATTTAAAAAATAGTTTGTGTAATATTATATTTTAAAATAAAAATTATTTATTGAAAATCTAAAGTTAAATAGTTTAAATATTTAGAATTGTGAGCCGTTATTCTTATAAGAAAATTAAAATAATAATTTATAGTATTAATATATCTTATTTTTTTAAAACGTTTAGGTTTTGTCATGGATTAGAATGCGTGACTTACATATACTTACTTCTGGACCATATTTGTTTACTAATGATGGCCGGTTTGGAATTCAACATCCTCTGAGAGATTCTGCTGTTTGGAATTTGCAGATAAAAGATGTATCGCCGAAAGACATGGGTTCTTATGAGTGCCAAGTTAATACTGAGCCAAAAATTAAGTTTTTGGTCAATCTGACTATTTTTGGTAAGCAGTAAAATATTCTATATTCTAGTATATGAATTATTATGCACAGGGTGATTCACCAAACAAGCTCGCCCTAATTTTTTTATTTAATAACTAATTTATTGGAATTATGGTTTTATAATTTTGCAAATAAACTTAAAGACCATATTTTAAAATTCTTACGATTTTTTATACTGATAAAAGAGTGTTCTGTGTGATACATACTTTTGTTTTTGAAATAAAAACCATATTTTAACTGTAAATTATTTAGTGAACAATTTTTTAAGCAATCGTGATGCTTTTTAATAAATAAAATATTTATACTAATAATAATAGCCCTTAAAAATAGTTAGAGATACAAAATATATGTGATATTGGATCTAGTATTTATTATACTTGACCATTTTTACAAATTGTAATTATTGATAATGAATTGATATTAATTACTAAAATTTTCAAATCACTTTATTCCCATATCTTTCAAACCTGTTATTTTAGACTTATTATTTATAGTTTATATAAAAACTAAAATATCTCGAAAACTACTCGTGCGAATCAAGATTTCAATACATTGAAATTGTATGCTAAATAATTTAGAATAAAAAAAATTCTAATTTGAAAAATAGAAGTTTGTATTTTTACAAAATTCTCCACAATTACCTAGAGTAAAAAATTTCAATAATCAGAAAATATCTTTAAGTATATTCAAATTAAACAAAGTTAAAATTTCAAATAACTCCGTTATTGAATATAAGAAAGGAAGTGAACATGCTTGTTGAATCGTCTTGAATATGAAATAAATAATAATTTTATAATTTAAATCAAACTTAAAAACTATAGTATTATGATGATTTTTTTAATGCTTAAAGTTGATACAAATTAATAAAACAAAAATTATGAATTTAAATTGAAAATTAGCTCTTAGCGAACCGGATAGTAATTATTATCTTTGTATCGTTGATATAGGTTGTAGAAGATTAATCATAAACGTTGATATCAACTAATAATAATTTGAAACTTGAAATTTAATATTTTCTCTTTAGTTTTAAAATTAGTCCAAAATTTTACTGAGTATCAAATTAAATCATATGTAATAAAATTACTACACTTCGCTAATATTTTAGAGTTATAAATTAATAAAATAATGGATATACTTACTAATATTTGTTTTTAATAATGACAATTTAAATTATGCAAAAACAAATAATTACAAAAAATTGAAGAAAATTTCCAAAATAATGTTTAAAAAAATAAAAAATATTAATACCCATACATTATTTAGGTGATGAAAAAATTCCTCGAAAAAGTTTTTTTTATATATATTTAATTTTGGAATTATTTAAAAAACACGAGTATCAATAAACAAATGAAAATATTATTTTAGAATTTTTCTAGAAACGAATTAATCAAAAATAAAATTTTCATTATAGTAATAAATATAAGTATATTATAAAAATTAAAACTGTTAAAATAAACAGACCTTTAAGCTTTTACATATTTGGGTTCTGTGCTTATATGCTTACTAATAATAAAAAAATATCAGTCACTATAATGACACAAAATATAATGCAGAACTGGTACTTAACTCCTGCATTTCAGTGAGACGGTTGTCTTTTAATTTAACAGGAATAATAACTAGGGTAATTGATATTGAACAACAATTTTAAATGATTGCTGAAATTTTGAACAGAAATGCTCAAGGCTCTCAAGACTCAGGCTTGCTTCCGTGTCTTCACCTATTGTTTGTTGATTTCCAATGCTATCAAAAACACTACTAAGCAATTAAAAAAAAAAAAAAAGACTTAATTAAAGTATAATATATTGCATTTAATTTTAAATTTAAAAAAGTGCAATATGCATTTTAACTGGCCCAAGATGAGTTATTGAAGAAAAGACAACATAGAATGCAGTAGTTAGTTAAACTAACATTTTTTGGTTTACCTAGAATTTAAAAAATAAATAAACAATCTTCAATTCATAACTAAAAAAATAAATACTTTTATTATTGTACTATCACTAATCTATATATTATGCTCTTATTTTTTTTATACAGAAACAACTAATTTTTCTCTTGTCATAATTTTGTGTTATATTATTAAGTTATAATTATTTGGTTATAAGTTTGTTAGCTGTTTAATTAATAAGAAAAACAAATAACCAACCAAGATCAAATATACTCAACATTTTCAAGATTAACAGTGTCAATATAAGAACATTTTTGTTACTTTAGTTGTTTTAAATTTGTGACTGAGGCTCCCACTTTCAACAAGCTATTGAGTGTTTCTTTATTTAATATTTCAGTGTAGCTATTATTAAATAATTTAGTTATAAATTATTTAAAAATCATAAATATTTAATTATATAATTAAAATATCTACTATTAAATACAATGACAAAGTTTGACGTTAAATGAATCATTAAATAAATTTCGATAAACAATTTTTGTATTTTCATCAATTTAAAGTTAAAAATTACTATTTTGTATAATTTTTTTTCTTGGTATAATATTTACTTTAACTTTAATACGTATAAGTTGTATTTAATCAATAATAAATTATCATTTCCAATATATTAAGCTTTACACAAGCTAAAATTAAAAATTAAATAACATAGATTTAAGAAGAAATAAAAAAAAGTCTTTAAAAATACTGAGAATCATGCTATAAAAATGTAATTTAAACTAAATTTTTATGAATAGAAATTTGAAATTAATACATGACATCTTCATTAAAGATTATTTAAGAAATATTATAACTATCTCTATATACAATTAAAAAAACATTAACCCTTTTTTTTTACAAACTTATGCATATTTTGACCTAAAATGTGGTTTCTTTATTCATAATGAACCTCACTTAGAATGGTTTTTCAAACACGATGATACTTCACTTTAAAATTAAAAACTAAAACGTAAATTTAGTATATCTAACCCAAGTGACCTACTAAAAACAATGGTTGTTTTTATTTACAATACATGGTCATTGGTCATATTTTATATTTTAAGTGGAGCAATAAATGTATTGATTTTACGATGATGTGTGTTTTTTCATCTGTGGGTACATACATTCAAATTGAAATAAACATGCTTTAATCTTCAACTTTAAGAGTTGATTTTAGTTGAAAGTTGGATTTATTTTATCTTAGATCTAATGTAATTGTTCTCAACACATTTTAAAGTAAATAGAGAAAAAAAAAGGTTATTTTAACAGAAACTGAAATTTTGACAAATAAATAATTTATTTTTTATTTCAAAAATAAATGTCTGTTGACTTGAATTATTCTCAAATTAGATGTACTTTAGTGTTTCCTATATATATATATATAATAATTTAATAATTTATTCACCAAAAGTTTTTTCAAATAATCTGCATTAATATTTACTAACCTTTAGTGTTTTTTATATTGACCAATTGACTTAATATTTTTTTTTGCTAATTATAAATCAAATTTTTTCATATATTTTTGATAAATTTTGTTTTATTTAACTAAATAATTAACATGTCTATTTTAAGAATTAATGTTTTACTCTTAATTTTTTGCTTTTGAAAAATTATAATTTTATCTTTAAGTTTTTTATTGGATAAGAATGATTTTACATTTAATTCTATGAATTTCTTCTTAAGATCGCTATATTTGTGTTTAATTAAAAATACTTAAAATTTTTCTGTAGATTTTGATTATATCATAATTTTGACTTATAAAGATATGTTACTTATAAACATCAATATTAATTAGACTTACTGTCGTTTTGCAGTATTGTCAAGCAATTATAAGTAAGTCGTTCAAAAAACTATTATAAGAAAGAAAAATTATTCTATTTTATTAATAATAATTATTATTGATACTTCATTAATTTTTGTTTAATATTATTCAAATATATATTAAATTCTTTTGATTTGGATTAAAAGATAAAAGTTTTAAGACTGAAAGAACTCCTAAATATTCATTCTAAATTTTATTGATATGAATGATACTGAATAAAATCGATAGTGAAGGTCATTATCAACAACAACCGTATGGTTTTTTAGAAATGTACTGTTGAGCATTTCATTATATTCTTTTATCATGACATATATAAGATAAAAATACAATATATTTTTACACATATTAATAACAAAAAAGTATAGGTTTATGTTTTAATTTGGCGTTCCTAAAATTCTGGCGATTTCCATGGCCTAAAGCATTTGCCGCTTTTGCTCCTCTTTGCATGGCCATGCACAAACTATATGTCTATATAAATATGCATCTTAGATTCTGTTCCATTTTAGAGAGTGAAGAATATACATCTATACAGGCTTTATCTATTGACTTTAAATTGATGTATATGTTGGTATGTTATTATTGATTTGTTTGTCTGTCATCATCTTATGGATCACTATAAATGCTTTAATATTTGAGAGTGGTTTGGATATATATGTACAACTTTTGACAATCTTTAAAACAAAAATATAAGTTATTAGTAAATTCAAATTATATTATTTTATGAATATAAAACTTTAATTATTTTACTTTTTGTAACGTCACGTAAAATTGGATTTAGAAAAATAGTTTCTATATTTATATTGTACATATATACAACTATAACAAACCATACTATTTGATCTCAAAAAGTCTAGTCTATTTGTTTGGATTACTGAACCAATGCTTTAATTGTGGTTGCCAAGCTTTCGCTTTGAAGCGAAACTTCATTACGTCTAATGAAATTGAGTAGTGTACCAGAATATAAAGTCTTTAATTCAGTTAAAACACTCGGAACTAATTTCTACTTAATGATTTTACAGTTATCAGTACTATTTATGGTTATAATCATTTGACATGCATTCTACTTAAAAATTATTAGTATTATTAAGCATAAAAGTCTATTTCGTAATATGAGTAATAACATTACGATATTTCGATATTATGTTTGTAATTTATCAATAAATATGTAGCAATTATAGAATAATTACTTTATTTTTGGTATTAACTTAAAATCATTTTAATTAATGTTTTAACATGTAAAATATATCCTAACGTTTAGT